TTATAGTACTTAAGACATAGTGTTTTGATTTGTAAACATATCGAAGTATCACATTTTCTTTGCACCCATAAATACATAGCACACAAAATTACTATTATTAATATTGTATTAATGTTAATGTTGTATATTACAATATTATTAATTTATTTATTATTTTCCCAATCATTTATTCTGAATACTATGAATAACCGTTGATGCCTTTAACAACGTAAAATATATATAAAAAGTGAACTAGATCTTTTCTTATAAGAGATAATCATTTAAATATTTTTCTTAAGTAAACAAATATAATGTTTTCTTAGTGATATACGTATATATGTGATCAGTACTAAACAATTTCTTTAAAAATAGATTTTTTTTAAAATAAATAATTTTATTTTTTTACCACTCAAAAATAAAAAAAATATTATTCCAATTCCTGAATAAATTAACAAACAAAACACTTAATATGACTTGTTTTCGATAAATTATATTTATTAATTTCGATCGATGTTTCAATGTTTTTATTATTTTATATAAATATGTATAATAATATACATTAATATAATACAATAATGTAATGTACAATTTTATTTATATTTTATCATTCGTCTGATATCGTTTTATATTCACATTAGCTTTTCTATGGTTTATGATATCGATTTTATTCCATTTTAATTTATAAGAATATTTATACCTATTTATATGAGGTTATTTTATGGATATTGAGGATATTTTTATAATGGATAAAAATAATCATCTTCAGATTGGTTTTTACGTGAATTACTATTTGATAAATGTTTTTAAAGAGAATGATCCAAAATTTCAAACCTCTCCAACCTTACTACAAACTGCCTATTGATCAGCAGATTTTAGGCTAGCTTATTGGAATATCTACTTAGCGTTTCTATATATCTTTTGCTGGACTTTTAAATTGCTTCTTTAACAAAATTTTCTGTTGAATTGAATGGTTTACGTACCTTGGAGTCAGCAAATTTACTAAAGCTTTAATTATTTTTCTTACTATTTTAGATTAGTATCATTACAGTATTTTTATTTTGGAGATACTTGCAGTGCCCCAAAGTTATATAGCATCTGTCAAGATCGGTTCAAACATAACTTTATATAACAAATTTTTTTTTAATTAAAAATTTGACCCAAGAAGATAATAAATATTTTTCGTTTTGTGGACTAATTGCTGGGACAACTCACATTATAGTATAGTAATATGGTTAAGATTAACTTATGAATCTTTTTATGAGATTTCTGAAATAAGAAAGAATGAAGTGTTTGGCACTGCACTTGATCCATTACTTTTGTAATTTTTCTGAAACTGAATATATTACTAGAAAACCCAATCAACATTATTTCTTCAGTTTTGACGATTTGACGATTAATTTAATATATGTATGTTTTACATTAAATATATTTTTTCACAAAACGTGATCCATAACCTCTATCCATTTTAATAAGACTGTATGCTAAACTCTATTATATTAATATAAAAGTACCAGAAAAAGTAAGAAACCTGGCTCTTTAAAATAAACGTTCCATTTAAAATCTTTTTTTTGAAATTAGCTCTTGTTTTTTATTACTTTTAGCTCACATACTTTCTTATTTTATTTTTTATTTCATTGATTTGTATTAAAAAAAAAAATATTTCAGCTTTTTATACTGACGTTTCTTACAAAACTTTATTGTGAAATTATTCTTTCGTTTTTTTTTGTAATACACTTAGCTGACAGTTTCTTATTTTAATTTCTTATTCCGTTTATTAGTAGTGTTAACTACCACTTTGGCTATTGTTTATTACTATATAGCAAAGTAATAAAATAATTCCTTTGCTGTGTTTGATATTTTTAATTTTCTTGTTGCAGTTTTAAGTTGTATTTCTTTCTCAATATTTAAATTTAGAAAATGCGAAAATGATTTTTAATTATATGTTACAATCATTACATTTTATCGTTTTGTCGAAGTTGTCTGTCTAGACTCCCAGAAAGTCACTCTGGAACTACTTTTTCATATATTTAAAAACTGTGAAACTTGTTTAAATAGCGCCAGTCAAACAAATAGGTGATTATTGTAAAATTGATACCTCTTGTTTTGCCGATCTGGTATATAAATATATATATATATAACAGAAATAAATATGTATGAAAAGCATTCAATCAGACGGGAAATGGCTTTAAATATTATGTAAAAATTACTCAGAAAATATTTTCTTAACAGGTAGGAATCTCGAAATAATTTAGAGTTAAAAAATCTTATAGAATCGTAAGAATATTTTAAAAATTATCTATAATTTCCTTTCATTGCATTAATTTAATTTCGGTCTATCATCGCATTAAGTAGCGTTTGATATTTTAACGCAAAAAATGATTCAATTTCTGTCAAGCGTCATATAAAAATTTTTAAATTAAAATAGCATTAAATTTTTTGATATAATTTAAATTTTTTTGTTTTATATAAAATGTGCGTAAGCACGAAAATGGCTTCGTTCATCCGCCCACTTTGCGCGTCCTCATCATATATTTTTATACTCTGCCTTACTTACAGGTGGCAAATAAATTTCAATAATGAAAGTGTTTCATTTGTGTTTCAGTTGTGTGGACCCAAAGAATCATATGCGGCGTTTATGCTTGTAAATGTAGGTTTCTAGTATATAAATACATCCATTTAAGTTTTATTCTGTACACTACGGCGTATGACTATCTTGGCGCACAGCACTGCCAAGAAAAGCGTGAGTCATAGAAGTTGATATTTAGTTCTTTTCATTATGTTTTTCTTGTTAATTTGATGTCTTGCCAAATGTGCTTTCCTTGGATGTCGAATGTTACGTATAGATGCATATATCTGTAGATGTGTAAATGTGTAGATATCTGTCGATAGGTCGGTTTGTTAATTTATCTTATGAACATCTTCATTCCTGATTGCTGATCACCGAACCATCAACAGCAATTTTACTTTTTTTCACTCTGTAACAAATTAAGTTTTCCTTTATTTTTGCAGTCAAAAGAGACATTGTTTTTACGTGCGGTGACATTTGTTTTAATCCATTTAAATCTATTTTATCCATAGTTGTGCTTAAATGAGATAGTAAATGTTGCATAAAAAGATTTTTAAATGCTTTGTACTTCACGCACACGCCTATTTCCATATTTCATCGTTAATTGCAAAACTGAAAATCGACATCCTCTAGTGAAAAATTGAGTTCAACAAATGTTTGGGTTAAAGATTTGTCACAGATTTCATTTAATTATTGTTCTGTTTGTTTTTTGCTGAGTTTGATTCAATTTCATTTGCCCTGTCACAACGTTTTTCAATATTATAATTAATCATTATTTAGAATTCGGTTTCTTTTTAAATTGTTTATGGAAATCGTAATAATAAAATATTTTATATAAGGAAATATAAAATTCAATCTACAAATAAATTCATCAAAGAAATAGAAAGAAATAATGATTTAATAGATACTTTATTTTTTGCTTTAATAATTTTTAAGTAGGATAATTAGAAAATAAGTTATTACGTATATAAAATAATTAGAAAAAATATTGACGGTTGGTAATAATTAAATTATTATACACAGAAAAATATACTCTAACCACATATATTAATTAAATTGATCTGATTATTTTGTTAGAATAATGTTAGCATATGTGATAAAGAAGACATGTTTCTGTCTTCTTTCGAATATTGCCAAATACCCATCATCAGTGGTCTTGTAAATATTATAATTATATATTTAATTATACGTAAATAATTTGTTGAAACTGCAAGTACTATGGATTGAACTCGTACTTTATATTACTTTAAATTTTTAAAATTAAATATAAAAGTAATAATTTTGATATCTACATATATTTTTGAAATTGCAGTATAATTTATTTCTAAGCTAAGCTTGTATAAAGCCAATATATATTTCGACTCAATAATGTATAAGAGTTAACTAACACACTTTAAACTTTTTTAAAGTTTTTAGAGTGATTGAAGAGTATTCGAATTTGCCCAGTATTAAAAATTTTATTAAAGATATACGAAAGTAACATATATGCCAATAAAGTCATATATACAAATGCTATTTATTTAATTATCCTATTGCTTTTTTGTGTACTTTGTTAAAACACCAACTTGACAATTTTCAAAATATACTTAATATATAACAAACCTCAAAATTCTTAAGTCTTGGCTTATCTTTATGACCCGATTCATTGGTTTTTATGTTCCAATTATCTTTGCCATATGTTCACTGGTTGCCTCTTTCATCTACGATGTCCAGAATTTCTGTTAATAACTCTCCCTGCAATGTTATGTTCGCAATGTAGCTCCACTTACTGTAAAGAATCTTTACCTTCTATTAACATTTGATTAATTGCCAGAACCATTGTGATTTATTATTTATGTGGGTTGGATAATACATACGTGGTACTTTCTTAAAGCATTAATTTAAGAAGCTCTGATTTTTTTAGATCTCACGCAGTATAATATTCCAAAATTCAAAGTAAAATAATATATTTGATTTTATGAATACTTATATATTTACATTTATTTCAAGATGCTTTAATTATTACATTACCTGAGGTTATATCTGTTACTGATACATAAATTAATCACATATAAGATTCATTCAATCTTACTGATTACTATATAATTATAAATATATTAAAATATTTAAATAAGTTGCCACTTAAAACTTTTATTGAATGGATCACAGACTATTTATTCATTCTAAGGCATTTATACCTAACTCAGAACCCCGAGTATGAGTTTATTTAAATACAGTATGATAAAAATGTGAAAATGATTTAAGTTCATAAGCACATATCAAAGAGAAATTTAATTTTATATTAAATTAGTAACAGCCTTTCAAACCTATTTGTGAAAATTTTATAAATTACCTCATAATTGTCTTTAAAATATTCTCTAATAAATTTTAATTCACCCTTGTGTTCAAAAATATAATATATTTTAGATGAAATTAGATGAAATCTAAGAAGAAGGTTCCCAGATATCTTAACGATCCCGAGATGCCTGAATAAGTTTGCTAGTGTTAATGAAGAACAACTCAATAATTTTTTTAAATAAGCTTCTACTAAAAATTTTAAGAGAACAATTTAAACATTGGTAAGCTAGTCTCATCAAATTTTAAACATGTTATATTTTTCTAGTCCAGTGTTTTAGTATATGCCGCTGTTGGTAGCAGCTACCTATTATCTTTTCTTCTTCCTCTGCCGCGGTTCAATTGTTTCACTCTGTACCTGGCAAAACCTGGCAAACTATATCACTTTTATTGCAAAACCTTTTTTTTTGTTGAAAAAATGACAGAATGTTTATCGGCATACCTGGTCACTACTTTGTTTGGCCTCTCAGGATATGCTTACTTTTCTACAGACAAATGTCTGATTTGAAACAATAGACAATTTAAAGTTTGACCGATATCACACATATTTCAAAATGGACAGCTTGATTGCAATAAATTTATTCCTAAAAAATAATTTTAGTGAAATAAGGTCCATTCGATCAACAGTTTAATATGATTTCTTAATATATATTTATATATATATATATATATATATAGGTACATATATATATAGGTTTGGTTTTATATAAATGCGAAATCAAAATAATTGCTTGGCAAAGAGAAAAAGATAAATTTTAAAATATGTTGAACATCTATTCTTTATGATCGAAAAGTTTTTTTTTACTCGTTTTTATTAATTATTATTCTCAAATATTTTAAAATTAAAATATGGTTAATCCCTGGAAATTTGTTATGTTGATTATGTTGATTATTAGTTCTTTGATTAGTTGTAATCAAAAGAGAATTAAAATGACTTCGAAACCATTAATTTCTTCAATAGTACCATCAATTTTTCTTTGATTACCACTATAGAGCATTAAATCCTCATTAATATCCATGTTGTTCATATGAAATATTAAGTTCATTATAGTAAACATTAAAACCCATTTCACAGGTATTTGGACTCCAAAAAGTCAAACACCTTCATCATCCATAAACGATTTGCACGAAATTCAAAGCACAAAAATAAATTCCGCACCACCAACTCCACCACCACCGCCAGCACATCCAGTTTGGACACCACAACCATCACCTACAGCTGGACGCAAAGAATTCCGTCCTGTACGTTTTGAATCACCGACACTACCACGCAGGTACGTTGTACAACAAAGTACACCCAATGGTAATGCCCAGTTGCCACCGTGGTCATGTCAATCAAACAGCAGCTCATATGCGCCCCCCTCGCCGCGCTCCACAAATAGCTGCACGAACTTAAGCACACCCACTACAGTATGCTCCAGCAGCACACACTTCATAGACACCTACAACGATACAACGGATTTTACTAGTAACTTTGCTCCCAACACCAGTGTTTCGGATAAAATAAAAAGTATGCTGTGTGAATGTTTATATTTTTTTTATTAATGTTAATGATTTTTCGAAACAACTACTTAGCATTGTGTGTTAGGTTTTATGATTTTATATAAAATATTTTTGATGGTAAAAATTTCTTATGCAGCATTCGAGAGATCAGCATCTGCTTCAGAATTATATCGTCCCTTTGTGCGTCGCCAGCCAGACACAAGCCGTCCTGCGTATAGGCCCAATGAAGTCAGTAAGTATTCCCGATACCAATATAGTACTACTACAGTTTTACTAATGCCCACGACCACGAAAACACGTCACCAATTATATAAACTGTAAACACATATTTACTTAGTTTATTAGTTTTATAGTTTTATATATAGTAATTTGAGACTTATTACAGTATAAAGACACATAAATATAAAATATAAAAATATTTTATAAAATCAATGAAATATATAACGCAATAAATACTTTTTGGCGTACATTAACAGGAAAAAAATAATTAATAATAATTAAACAGAAGAAAATGAATAATGTACTTATGTAGCATGAAATCTTCAAATGAAAATCTGTTCTAAGACTTGTTTGCATGTAACTATCGTACAATCTATAAAAAATTAATAAAATTGCATCCTGTTATGAACAGAAAAAAATAATAGCTAAAAATTTATGAAAATGTTACAGTTTATAAAGTTAAGCACGAATACTTGAGTGAACCGGAAACAGAAAACGATCGTCCAAAAAAAATGGCACAACTGGGCCGCAGACAAATTGACGGCATCGGCCCTGTAACCAGAGATGGCATGCCAATTGTTCTCAGATCGGTAAACACAAAAAATTTAATTTAAATTTTGCAAGCAATGAGTTTTGAAGATTTCTGAAACTCAATTATGTTTTTTTTTTGTGACATATTAAACAGGAAGTTAAGGAACCTCACCAGCATGAATGGTACAAACGACTTTATCAAACCATACATAAGCAGAAAAATGGCGGTAATAATTTACGAATAGTTATACTTATAAAATATTAACGTAGCAATTATTTTAGAGTAGTTATAGGAACAGTGTTTTTTTTGTATAAAATATATATAGTATGTAAAATGTATATGGTATAAAATATTTAAAAAATATAATATAAAATAGTAAGAAGAAGAGATTTATAAACATATATCTCTTTATTTCACAATTCCATCTAAGTCATAATAAGATTCAACTTAAAGCTTTATAATATAAAACTAATATCCAATATTACTAACACAGCGTTATCAAATCTCAGAATGGTTACAGGCTCCTCGGGGAGGTATGCAGATCTTAGGTCAATTATTGCTTAGTCTGATGTAGTGATAAACAATAATGCAGTCAAAGCGCAAAGAGGGGTTTTGAAGAAACCTCGCAGTTAATAGAGAGTAAAAGTGCTCAGGTGCACTGACTCAATTAGCCTCAACGTACTAAAAATGATTTTGCATTAAAAAGCGTATTAATTATAATTAATATATTAATCATTGACACAGTGCTTTATTTGAATTATCGGTTTTACAATAGCCATATTTTGATTAAACAATTTACATTATTTACCATCTTTCGAAATACTGTTTACGCATTTGAACTAGTATGACCAGACATATCTATTTGATAAATCGTTTTAATAATAAGTCTCTTTTGATTGAAGAATTAACATTATTTACCATCTGGTATGACCTTCAGTTCCTTTTATGAATTTTTGTTTTGGAATTCAATTGAGACGATTTCTTCCTATAATTCCCGCAATATATATAGATGTGTAAATCCAAATGCTTTAATATCCTCTAAAAGGACTCCTTCTATAAATGAATCATATCACATAATCCATTTCTTTGATTAGAATTTTCGATGCACCAAACAACGAATAAGAAAAAATGGTAGGCTTCACCTTGACATTTTATAAAAGTTCAATTCTTTTAGAGTCATGTGATGATGAGAAACATTTCCAAAACACGCATAAAATGAAACAAACAACCCTATAAAAAAGGTTCAAACTTCCATAAAAGATATTAAAATTACGCATTATCCCTTTTAAGCGGCTAAAACGATTTTCAAGCCCTATTATTTACTTCAGTTTTTGTTAATTTCTAAATAAAACAAAGGATGATTTAAACGATCTCTCAGCAATTTTCAAGCACTTTAAATCTTAAAGACTCTGTTCTGCTAATACCAATTTACTATAATAAGTTTTAGAATCTTGAATCATATTTCGTACTTTTTTTACATCTTAATTCAAATCTTTATTATAAAGTTCCTCAATAATGTTAAAATACTACATTAAAAGGTTGTTCCTAAGTTTTCAAGTTTTATATGGCTAAAGTAAGCACCCATGGATTGTCCATAATTATGTAGCGATCTTTTCTAAAAGCATTTTAATTTTAATTATAATATATATATGGACATATAAGATTTATTACAGCCATACATTATCTTATAAGCTTATAAGGAACATTGACAGTATTAATATAATATTGTTATAGCATACAGTATTAACTATAACAGTATTATAGTCCGTTTTTACGTTTACGAAGATTAATATTAACTTTAATATTTAATATTCACATAACTACAAGCTGTAATGATCTAACTACCGCTGCTTTAACATGTTAAAGAGCTATTATTTAAGACGCCTATTTGATTAAATTATTTTAGCGTACCATCCTTTACATCAAAGCTTTGAAATGCTTTTGAACCTACTGAGTTTTTTGTTTGCCTTATGACAGCTTCAATTGAATATTTATAATCTACACAATAATCTAATCTGTTATAATAAACAAATATAAACAGAATTTTTATCTTATTATGCTATCTGGAATTTTGACAAATTTAGAAGAAATAAAGAGAATAAAAAAAACAAAAATATTTAAATTTTATTTTTTTAAGACTTTTAATAAACAATTTATTAAAAAAATTGCATTGTTTTTGTATATGAAAAGTTCATATATATTTTTTAATTACATATTATTAAAATATTCTAAAGAAAGTGTATTAATTAAAAACCAAATCAGCCAATATTTTATTAATAAATATAAGTCAGTAGTCCGAAATTTAAAATATTTTTATTAAATAAAATGTATGAATATTTTTGTATATTAAAAGATATAAATATTTTTATATTTTAATGTATATAAATGTTTTTATACATTGAAATATATAAATATTTAAAAACAATAAAATTTATATATGTTTTTATATATTGAAACATATAAATATTCTTATATGTTAAAAGATATAAATATTTTTTTATATTGAAATATATAAATTCTTAAATACAATAAAATTTATATATATTTTTATATATGAAAACATATAAATATTATTATATATTAAAACATATAAATATTTTTTTATTTTGATGTATATAAATATTTAAATACAATAAAATTTATATATGTTTTTATATATTAAAACATATAAATATTCTTATATATTAAAGCATATAAATATTTTTATATATTAAAATACGAGTATATAATTATTTTTAAATAATAAATCAAATAAATATTGGTATTTATTAAATCAAACAAGCATCATATACCATTTTGCTTTCACAAGTTAATTAATATTTATTAAGGCTTGTGACTTATTATAATATATAAATAAATAAAAATTTATATTTATTATATATATTATAGTAAAACGCTAGAAATTAACGATTTCGAAGAGGCATTTTAATTTTGTTGTAAACTTCAGTGATTTTATCTAACAATTCTATGCACTGACAGAGATCTATTTGATATATGCACTGATATATATATCAATATATTTCCAATTAATGAAAATGATTATTATATATGGGTAGAAAGAATTCATTTTCAACATAAGAAACAAGAAATTAGGTTTTAAAAAATTCATCTAATAAATGCTCCCTTATCAGAGCTAACATAATTTTGAAATTGGAATCATTCTTCCCTAAGCAATGTCTTTTGTTAATTGGATAGCGAAATTATTTATATCATTATAAATAAAATAACAGGGATATAAAAAATAATTTTATATTATATTTTAAATAAATATATATAAATAAATCCAAATACAGTTACAGGCAATAAATAAATTTTTTTTAGTTAGCTTTAAGTTCTTAAAATATTAAGCAATCTCAATGATTATATTTTTATTGTATTTAATTAGAATTATATTACTTTATTTATAGAAAGCTTATATTATCTGCTAATAATATCATTATTAATAAATATGAAGCTCTAATGTTATATTACATATTAAATATATATTTAAAATAATTGTTACAAAATTTTTTTAATTGGATTTGCGTTTCGGTTTGCGCGCTTCTTCATGCCTACAAATGCTTTAAATTTTTACAATTATTGTAAATCTTTGCTCAGATGATTACGTGATACGCTACAAATGTCAAAGAGGTGAATTTTGCTCAATTTTTTTTTATAAATTTCCTTACTTATATAACTATATACAATATACATATATAACAGCTGTAGATGATGTAATATTAGAAAATTGCTTTCAACGCTTGCTTATTTTAATGCTTTTTTATCGCCAAAGAATGAACTGAAATGCAAACTCATTTTAATGCATTTAAACATAAAAAAATATAAAATATAAAAAATAATTATCTTATACACAAAAAAAAAAAATAATGAAAAATTAAACAAAAAACAACTCAAATACACTCTCAGCAAACAGCAAATTGCATGCTCATTAATAAAATAAAATAAAATAAAATAAAATAAAATACATGTTCTAATAAATATAATAAAATAATAAATAATAACTCATCATTATTAATATACTATTAGATAATAATATTTTTATTTAGTTTTAGAAATAAAATTTTTTTTACTAACATTTCTGTAAAATACAATATTGTAGTTTTAATATTAACAATAAAGTTTTTAAAACAAAAACGCATTTTTTAATTATTTTCAGTTATTTTTTTTTTAAGTTGGTAATACTTTTCTTTGCAACTAATTACTGCTCATGCTCTTCTAACTTTTAATTACTCATTACTTGCTTGTTGCATTACTGCGCTCTAATCCCACATTTCTTTTACTATTTTTTCATTATTAAAAGGTCCTCTTGCATATTCAACAGCTCGGGCACCACACAAATCAAACGGTTATCTGTCAGAACCTGAGCCGAATTACGACTCCGATTACTCTACTATTAAATATCGTACATTAGATAGACGACGTCTTCAATCGGTTTCTTCTGCTGCAAACGTCAGGAGTAACGCGAACTACCTTTACGACGATAAGTAAGAAAACTGAATATATGCTCGAATTTTAAAACAACTCTTAACAATATATTATATTCCTATTTTAGATCTTATGGTACTATGCCAAATCCAGTTAAATCAGGACAAAATTCATATAAAAATCAACCTGGTCGTATTGAGAATTATGTAACTGGAAATTCTTCCGTTTCTGAAAAAGAACATAAAGAGGTAATATTTGAAATATATCTGTATTTATATATTTTATTTTATGGAACTCGTATTTTATATACAAAAAGAGTATTTATGTCAATATTGCATTATAACATGATATACGTAGAAAATACAATACTCAATTAGGGAAGTTACTTTAACTTTGCCGAATCTTACATAATATACTTTGTTTTCAATAAAATAGTTTGGAACTTTTCCCCACTACTTAACAAAAATTTTATCCGCCGTCTGTTGTTCTCACTTTTAAATTCTCACTGATCTCAAATTGGTGTATACTAGATACATTGAATAATCAATATCTTCATTAACCAAAGATCATAAAACCGGAAAACTAAAATAGTCTGATCTATATCAGACTGGTCAAACTGAAATATTCTGATCAGAACAACTATATAGTTGTTTAACACGTTGAAGACCGCATTGAAAAATCTTATTTCACACATAGCAACCGGCATTTTTTGTTTATTGCTAATTACGTATATTGATTTGATTAAAAGAAATCGTTTTAAAATAAGGCTATGGCAAATTAAATAAGTCCGCTATATGCAGTAACTCTCCGAGGGACCGACGAATGGAGTACTGTACAAAAATTTAATTTAAATCATACACACAGGTGTACAAGCGGTGCCCAGGTAAAACATGTCGTGTGCCCACCCTTGGGCACGCGGGCCGGTGATGTTGTTACGGAGTGACCCACCGGTGAAGCATGCGGCCTTTAATGTGTTAACTTAAGTTCAGCTGCTCAACAGTTAAATTTGTCTTAATTATATTAAGAAATAAAATATATTTAATATAAAAACTTGAATCTGATATATTTCATTCTTAGACAGCTTATACAAATCTGAACCGATCGTCTCCATTTTTAGTAATTTGAAAACGTTTGTTAGTAATTGTAAATATTTTAGAGTAGATTATATAAAAATACAATAGCTTTCGTTAAAACAACTGATATTTGATATATTGTCAAATTTTTACTCATTACAACTAATTTTGAATAGGAATGTACTCGTATGATATATATACGTTGTAAACTTGCCATTTAAATTTAATGAAATTTTTTCTACCTTGTAAAAAAATTTTCTTTATAAAAACAGGTACCAATACATGACTCTATGAAACCACTATACAATATGTAGTTAAAATAATCAAAGTCAATCTGTATATGAAAATCAAATATAATTCACGTACATAATATAAAAAATTCAGAAAAAATCCTTTATAACAAATGAAGAAATGTAATATCCACCTAACATAGCAGCTTTGGGATGTCGTAATTATATTATGATCCTTCGGCCAAATGCTTAAATTACAATCGTTCTATATCCATCTATCTATTTTGGTATAAGATCCTAAATTATTATAGTCCTTGTAAAAGTATTTGTATTCCTTATAATTTAGGTAACAAATGTTTCAGGACTCTTCATATATAACTTCATATATTTGCCTGTTAATATAATACATTTCCGCTAAATCCGCTAATATTAAAAAATTTTTCTTAACATATCAGCTAATAAACCTGTAATTTCAATAGGAATATCTATAGGAAACATGGACCTGAATCATAATCTTTTTCCTTTTGCAACTATTTAAATTCATAGTTATTGCTCTTCCATTTTTTACTTCTTCATAGAGTAAAGAATGATGCCACTTTTTATTAGCCAATTTAGACTTTATAATTCAAAAACGTGAGTACCTTATTATAGTTTTAGAATCTGAAGTTATTATTAAAAACATTCGTTTATTTTAGTCAATGAATTATAATGAATTCTGTGTATGCCTATTAAAAACCCATTATTCAAGTACAATATACTTTCCTTCTAAATTAACAAATTTTGCCTGAACTTCGGAATAAACGAAATGCGAAATTATTTATCATTTTATCCCATCTACGTACATATGTTTTTTCTGTGGTTTAGGAGGTGGAATGCTTTATGCATTTTCAATCTGACCGTCACCGGTATGGTGTGTCCGGTTTTTACTCTGTGGTATACCGCTTTCGCATTCCTTCAGAGAGGATCCCATATAACTTGGCTATCCATGCCATATATTTTTTGAAAAATCTACGTCCAGACCCCCACTACAGATACGAATTGGAAAGTCTCCAGACGTCTATGTCTATGTATATTATTATAATGCATTTGACATTGATACTATCTAAGTAGATTTGGTTTAGTTGTTAAGTAAATCATATGCATTTCTATGAACAAAAATACTTAGGTAGTTTAGAGTTTAGTATATAAATAATACTAATATTAATATATGATTTAATTAAAATTTAACTGCCATGTAAGTTAATGATAACATAGTATAATTAAAGGAGGATTTCGCACTTTATATATACACAACTCATTCAAAATATATTAAACAGTTCTTAAATTGCATATACATATATATATATACATATATACTTTCTTTTTAATAATTCATGCACATTTCGTGTTAATTTCTTTAATAAAAAGAACTAATTTTCTTTTAATTCACTGCAAATATTTTATTCACATATTTTTTAGTGGTGGGACGAAGTGATGGACATCTTTAATGGGGTATGCATACCGATTTTTTAATTTTTTTATTTGTGTATATACACCTGCAACATATGTGTAATACACGATTACTATATAATTTGAAAATATTAATTATTTTAAATGGTAATACTTATAAAAATGCTCTAAGCCCACGAATAAGATTTTTAAATATTTACAAAAAGATACTAATTCGATATATCCGTCCGTTAGTGAAATAAAAGCGAAAGAAGTTTCGTTAACTATGAATCCAAAGAAAATATTCTTATTCGTGGAATAGAGTTTTAAGATATCACATATAATAATATATATATAATAGATATATAGCAATAACATATAACATATTTATATAATATTTAATATATTTTTAAGAATTTATGTTATATATATTATTCTTGTTACATTATTTTTCGTTGTAGTATTACTTGAAAAATATTCCATTTAATTTGTTTCATACTATGTTACTATATTTTAGTAATGTTAATAATTATGTTTTATTTAGAATATATATTATGTGTATCCATTACCATTATTCACGTGGTCAGTAAATGCATTGCAATATTTATTTCATTCTTGAACCATCCTAATTGTGTTCTTTACTCGATCTTTTTCAATGGGAACTATTCGCTTATGATTCAGTTACTTTCATTATTTTAATTACCAAATACAATTTAATATCTTTATATAATAGTCTTATAATAGTCCTCAAATACATAGAGGATCTAATAACTAATAAATAATAATCCATAATAATACTGATTTTACATAATATAACAAGCCTTGTGTTCTCATTATTTACTACAATATACAATAATATAATATTGTATATTATCTTATTTATAATATTGTATTATATATATTTTATAATTATTTAATTTTCTTTATTATTTTTCATTATTATTATAATTATAAGTTAATCAGAAGATCCAAAACTGCGCTGCGTTTTAAAGGATCTATTGTGATATTGTGATATTGTGAGAATCCTCACAAATGATCTGAAAATATTACTGCATATTAATGTTAATTAAGGTATCGTAAACCTTTATTCGATACAATGAAAAACGAGAGAAAGTACTAGACTCGTTTCTTTGCAACGCAGCACATCAACAGATTCGATTTTATTATTCTGTTTATCACTGAATCTGAAAATTTTTAGTGCCATATAGTCATATCTTTAAATGGTTGTAGTTAACAGAAACATATCCATATAGGAAATCAGTGATTTACTTTAGTTCCGATCTATTTAAATTGAGAAACTTATTATTTTCATTATTGACTTGAATAAATTGCTGGCCTAAAGCATTTAGGGTGGACATTGCTCTTCTCGAAAAACTCAATATTTCTAGGTCCTAAATACAGTCTGATAAGTGAATATCTCGTAAAGACGTTCAGTTTATATGAATGGACTATTATTTGCAAACCTGCCAACTGTTTTGTTGTCTCAGATATGAGATTTTTTTAGCTTCTGATCAACTGGGAACTGGTGATCTAGGATTGGATAGATTTGATAACGGCATACCTATCCAATTACATAAATTATATATTCTTCTTATATTCTTCTTACCAAATTCTAATAACGGGACTTTAACTACTAACTTTCTCATCTATAGTGTTTAGACACCATCCATACAAAAGTCGTTTTTTATGTAATCCACATTTATGAGACATAATTTGCTAAGAATAATTTTATGTTCTTATCCCAACCAAACACCTACTAAGACGATCACCAGTTAGTTATATATTCTGAATAAGTTTGAACTGCAAACTTTATAATTCAATCTAATACATTACATTGTAGAAAAACAATTGACACAAATATGCAATTTTCAGAGAAAAAAAATTTATGGGAATTATGCTATTATTTCTAGGTATATATAAGCAGAATTGTCTTTCTTTATAACATGGCTTAATTCGCACAAAAGTTTATGTTAAATTGTACACACTTTTATTTATATACTAATAATTCCGTTCACTGAAAATGTTAAATTGAAATGCTACTTAGTTAATGACAATATATTAAAATAATGAAATACAATTCGGAAATATTATGAAGTATAATTATATAGAATACACAAAACTATCATTAAAAATAGTACTGGCATGAAGCACTTAGAAGCCGAATATCACATATAATAGCAGTTCAATCACAAGTATATCATTTTTGTTTAAAAAGGTTCTATAAAATATTTTATTTTTTAATATACTGTTTGTATATTAAGTACTATTCAAAGACATTTATTTTTAAACATTTATTATAATTTTAATTATTTTATAAATATACTCTTTAAGTTGTATTCAGTGAATTTTTAATTTTTATCTGTATTTATAATTAATTGCATTAAAGTTCATTAAATTGATTTTTAACGTCCGTTTTGACGAAAGAAACTAAATTCTTAATCTAACTTATTATTTTCAATAGACAGGTTTTTATCGAACAGTAGAAAATTGCAACAACAAATTTTTTCTTTATTATTTTTAATTAAATGAATTTTAGACCCATCATCAGTACTCTTGAAGTTATTTCTAAGATGTTTATAAGTCATCTAAATTTAAATCAATAATGTGAATTAAAAATTCATAAATTCACAAATGTTCATCCTTCACATTTATACCCTTAAATAAATTTAAGCAATGTTAAAAAAATTTTTATTTACTTAATAAATAAATGTTTTAGTAGGAATATTTGTATATCCATTTGCGAGAAATAGTCATACCTATGCTTAGTTATTTTCCAGATGGTGTTAAAATACAATAATTTTTTAATGCAGTACATTAAAATAAATCGATACATCTGTTGATTAATATATAATAAGATGTGTGCATAGCCACATATCCCTGGAAAAAAAAAGAATAATCTGACCAGAGGATAGCACTGACCTTCCTGTTATACTCAGTTAAATTAGTTATACGTTCTGAATACTTAAGTAGGCAAATGAAATAAGTAACGCAGAGCACACTTATCAGTTTATATCCATATCGGTTTCCCATGATCTGAATTATTCAAAGCATAACTGGTTGAAATGGGAACCCGTTTCTGTATATAGCAGATATACTGAAAAATGTCTGTGTTATAACCAGAAAGATAAAGTTGTTGGTCAGAGCACAAAGAGAAAAAAACTACTCCGATATATACAGTGTACGCATTGAGGATGTACCCATAAAAATAAAGTGCTGACATAGTTTTATAATAAGCCTTGTTTTTAAGACTTATTCTCAATTGAAATAAAGTGCTGACATAGTTTTATAATAAGCCTTGTTTTTAAGACTTATTCTCAATTGAAATATTAAGAAAATAATCAACAAAAAAAAATTTAATGATAAACCGGGAGTAAATATCTAATACGTCCCTTATTGTGACCACTATATAGAATAGTTTGATCTTGTAATCGCAGTCATCACGTACATATTCCAGTATGTCTATATATGCTTGCACCTCTGCACACTATCCAGAGTGCTTAACATTTTAGTATATACATTCCTTTAGGGTTACCGTGTGGTATGGCAGCTTCTTATTGTTAATATAAAGAACATAAGTTGCATACAAATTTTAGAAAGATATTGCATATACGTATATCACCTGTGCTTTTAATAATTATGAACGAATTAAAAACAAATATTTTTCTTATGTGCAGCGTAATTTATAGAAATATTCTACAGTATTGCTAAAGAGATATTCGAGGAATAGTAATGTGAATTCCGGGATAGAAACAAATTTAATAGACTAGGTTTTTGTAAACATACAAGCAGTGGTAAAAGACATTGAGTTTGGACTAGACTTGTACTTTTTATTCGTAGACTTTAAATCAGTCTGAAAAATATCGGTAAAATAATAATACAAACAGCTCTTCTGATCCAAAAGATTTTTGCAAGAAAATCCGATTTGTAAATATGCCACTTCAAGTATTGTAATATAACATAAATAATCTGAATCCTATGTTATACAAACAGATTGCACATTAGCACCAATATTGAATCTGATTTTAAATTGCACACTATCATAAATTAAAATAAAGCAATAGTAGAAAACAAATATCTACAATTTTGTGGATTTAGTAATGACCTTGCTCTAATAACTACCACTGATACTATATGGAATAAAACGTTTGTAAAATTTTTCTGTCTTAGAAAACTGGAATAAAACTAAGCACGCCATGAAACTAAAAGTATATTATCTTATATCTTATTCGAAGGCAATTAAACGACTTACATCACATTGGGATATTATTCGTACAACTTTGAAGGTTATATGGTACATATCTTTTTGAATACCTGTGATTGCTATTCAATGAGCAATATACAAACTCGATAAAATGTAACCTGAATATACATATATTGTTTATTAATTTACGAAAAATTATAATTGTGAAACATAATCTATCAATAAAAACATAATTATGTTACTCACATTATTCTGATAAGGTTTGTCATAGTCTATGAGACCTATAGTATAAATTAATGAACTATCTGTTTTAAAATCATGCCAAACTGTGGACGAAATTGATGGTTAAATTGATAAATTAAAGGCGAATCATCTTTAAATTTGAAAATTAGCAACAAGTGAAGTTAGCCGGATACTAGAAGATGGAACCTAAAATAAACTATTAATATATAAGAAATGAGGAAGACGGCGAAAAAAATAGATGAATGAAGTGAATAATTACGTACGACTTTTTCAAGAAAAGCAAAATATTAATAAAAATAAGACTGAGAGTAGAGAAACTCTCAGCCTTAAAGAATTTTTTAGACATGTTTTTGGATAATGAACTGAGAACATATCTACAACTTTTCTATATAAATCATACATATTTTTTTATAATTCTTAATTTGCAACACCATAACACTATCAATTTAACCACATTTTTTTATCTTAACACGAAAGTTATTGTATGTTAACCAAGTTATTGTTCCATTATCTCTATTTCTCTCTTACTAAGACGCTCTTCTGCATTTGCCATTGTGAGAATATATATATTTGTCTCATCCTCATATGTGTATTCTATGTGCACATTTTGATTCATAAATGTATCACATTCGTAATTCAGTGATGTGATTGGACTTTCGAGTTTGTGTTTTTCATTCAATCTAAATATCTTGAACTATTTTCTTTAATTTTTTGTAATTATTCATATTTTTATAAGTATGCATATATCTATATATATTTATTAACTGATATTAACACCTGAACACAAGCTGCAGTGGCTTTTGGATCACTCACCTTTGCCTCGTATAGTTATTGAACTCGCACAAGATGAAAAAGAATTTACTGTAAGTTTTCTAAAATCTATATCTACGAAATATTTATTGTTATTATATATAACTTTCAGTTTAGTTTACTTTAAACAAAAAATATATATGTATGTATTACTTAATTATAATTCTTTTTGAAATTATCTTTTTTTACTCTATTAAAATAAACATTTTTAATATTCACTTCTATCATAATTAACAGCATTTGGATCAAACGAAGCTGTCACCACATTACACTGAAGGAAATCTTTCCAGGTATATTTAAACCGTAAACAGTTATACCAGAAGATATAATCTAATTTTTTTATAGAGCATTAGCCAAAGAATCTGGTTACACCAGTGACTCGAATCTAGTCTTTCGTAAAAAAGAAGTAATACAAGGTAGCCCACTAAGTCCTGTTGAGCAGAAGCAAGCCTATAAGAGTCTACAGGCTGGCGGTGAGCCACCTTTATTAGGTTTTCGCAAGCCAGCTCCAGAGAAACCAAAAGGTTTGTTTAATTTATGTTAAATAATTGCAATCACTCATTTAAGCACGGCACTGTAAAAATATTGAATACACAAAGTGTTGAGTGCTACATGGCTATTCATTACTCAAACTTCTTAACAATTTACTTTAATTATTTTAATTAAATTATTAATTATTGTTAACAAATTTACATAGGTTAAGGTTGTTAACATATCCTTCTTTGTAGTATTACTAACATAAGTTTTTCTGTGTACAGCTATGCAAAAGTATGTTGTTCAAAATGAATCTAATAATTTTAAAGGTGTTGGTTATATACAATAAATGAGTTCAATAATTAATCTGCAAGTAATTTCCATGAATGGTCACAAAACTGCAAAGCAATAGAATTAATTTTCGTCAAATTTCTTGTCCACGTTCTACAGAGTAATAAGTACCAAGATAATGCACAGTTGGATCGATACACTTTCTTAGCGCACCAAGTTGAAAGTGAAAATCTTCTTTCTGTAAAAACTATTAAAACAAAATATTAATGAAAATTTATTTAATATTTTTCATCCACCACAAAAGGATTTCAACAACAATTTGAATACCTTCAAATAACGCCCACACTAACTAAAATACGTGTTCATTGCAGTAAAGAGCTACTCAACAGTCCAGATACTTTTACGAGCAGCCTTGAGCAACAAACTGAAAGAATTTCAGAGAATAAAAACAATATGTGTACGCCATTTGCTAAAACAATGCCGTCGTTTATATCAGTGGAACAAAAAAAGACAATTACAGCACCGCCTGCTCCACCGAACCGCAAATCTTCATGCACTAAAACAATAATTAAAGTAGATACTAGCAGCAGATTATTTAAGGGCCGTACACCTACAAATGTTTCACATAGACATGAACAATGCTTTCAAAGTCCCGAAAGCACTCCACCTGGTATTAGCAAATACAACACGGGCAGCTTAGCTAAACGTACCAAGCCTATTTGTCGTTCAAAGTCAGCTGGTGCAGTTTCTACTCTTTTATCATCAGTCACTTCTACACATAACGCAAAACCTTCTACCAGTCAAAACGTTAGAATTGCACGTTTACAACAGCACTCACGTGTTGGTTCTGTAAGTCCCACACGCAGACAACAACGTATTATATCCCTACGCCAGACTAGTCGTAGTCCTGTGGCTTTCGGAAGAAGTATTTCAAAAGAGCGTTCATTTGCTGAAGAAAAGAAACGCTTAGAAAATACATTACCGTTTAGTAGACATACTTTTGAAGCAAGTACAAATATTTTGCGGGATCCATCTCTCAAGTCACCACGTGATGTTAAGCAAGCAGTGCGTTCCTATGCTGCTTGTTCTGATCACTTACGTAGTAAATCAGTGCCACCGCGCTCCCGACTACCATATAGTAATTCCAATTTTAGTGTTAATACGACAATGCGTCATACAATGTGCATTCCCAAACCTCGTCCTTTAAGTGATGTGTTGTACGTAAGTTCAGTCCATAAAAATGTGCCTAAACCTACTACCCAAAAACCAAAGACAAATGTACACACATTGCCATCTAAGCATACTTCAAAAACTGTATCTACCGTAAGCCTAGCACGTACAGACTCAACATTTTCAGTGGAATCAACAACAACAACAACAACTGCACAACCAAAATCACAACCAAAGGAAAAAATAGTGATCACTACAACAGGAAAAACATCCAGTAAATTGAAATCTCCAGTAAAGGAAGTAAAAAGTAGACGGACTATAGCACTACAAAATAGTAAAAGTGATAGCAGTTTAGCGCATAAAGCAAAAATGAAGAACGTTAGTAAAGTTATTGTTAAGGGTGCTAACATTCCTAAGTCCACTACAACGCCTAAATCCACAAAACCGCGATATAATGTTGAAACCACAAATTTTTATGTTAAGTCATTACCAACAGCAGAAAAAGGTCTTGTTGAAGAGGTTTGCGTTTATGATAATGTGCGTGATAAAACAATTTTCTGGAATGATATTAATGCACAAACGACTTCGCTTACACATCAGACACCTTATTATACATCGTATTATAATTCTCGTAGTTTAAGCCCAACAAGGCACCATACAGTGGAACCCGATACAGAAAACATAAGCAATTATGAGTATGAAGAAACTTCTGAAATAGAAGAACCTAATTGCATTGAAAATCTGGTGTGGCAATATGAACACAAAAATAGAAGACAACCAACAACTCAAGTTATGCAAAACATCACGGACATAGCAAGACCATTATCTCCGCCACCTGTTCCCAGGAGATTTTCGCCGACACGTGAGGTACGCCTACCACAAGCGTCACGTACAATGCGTTCGCCCTCCAGGCGTCGAATCGATAGCCAACGTGTCAACATGAAAAGTGACACCAGCAAAATTATACGAGCCAGCAGCTTAAGCAGCGCGGATGATCGCTCTAAGCGTGGTCTTTACTTATGTGGTGAACTTGCTCACAGTGCAACTTCACTTACATATCTCGATCAACATAGTCCAACGTGCCGTTACCGTAGTAACTCTGAACGTTTTACAGATCTAAATCGATTTTACAGTACTTTAGAGCGTGTTGGACAGTTAGAACGTGCTACTTCGATCACAAATTTTAAACCGATTAGAAAGGATAGTGAATTGTTGGATTTCGAAGAATGGCGAAAAATACGCCTTCATGAACGTGCAGAAAAGGAGTTGAATTATTTAGTGAGCAAACTGAAAGAAGATCAACGATCGAAAGATTTCGTTTTTCGACCAAAAGATGTTGAAGATGTGAAATGGAAAAAAGAGACTGATTTTGGCTTACATACTAAGGAAAAATCAGTGGAAGATTTACGAGAAGATTTTGAAAGAAAAATATTTTTAAAAGAACTCGACTTGCAAAGAAATCGTGACATACTTCACCAACGAGATTATGTTAAACCATATTGGCGACGTAATACAGTTGCAGATTTAACTTCCACTCTAGAAGGAAGAATGCAACCAAATTCTGTTGGTTATGAAGTTGAGGAGAGTGAAGTAGATTTCAGAAATAAAAATGAATTTCAATTGAGTAATAAACTAGTAAGTACTTTGTCCAAGGATCAGATTTGTAAGATAACGCAGCAATTGAATGATATCTATTCCAGTGCTCCTAATAAGGACGCTACTGTAAGTGAAGAATATATTGTGACAGTTAATAAGCCAAGTAAGCATAAAGCTACAACTAATGGATTAAAAGTACGATCTAGCTCCTCTATTACAAAGGAAGATCTTATGGGCCCAGTTATGAGAAAGAAAGAAATTATTTCGAATACATTACCGATACGACATACTACGAAAATACGCGAAAATGTTAATAATATTGAAAAAGATACTATTCCAACAGATCGTATAATAACCGAACCTATTTATAGTCACACCCATCCTACTCGTAGTACGTCACCTGTAGTTTTGGCTCGAGAAACACGTGGTGCTATTGCAGCTAAAAATGCAGAGTCAACATTAATGAAAGCACCAGAAATTCCTCCACCGGCAACATATACTAAGACAACCGTAGACAATTTCAGTTCAGTTTCTGAAGTTAGGAATATTGATAAATCCAGTGGAAAATATCCTTCAAGATCTGATCAGCAACAATATTTAGGCTATAGAAAGGGTGGTCATATCAATGAAGGTCAAACAGAATCAGCTACCTATATGAGTTTACCCAAAACTCTCAAAGAAAATATTTCGCAAAAAATACAATATTTTGAAGACAAACAATATGATGAACCACCGAAAACAATATACCACGCTCGTGAGGATTCATCACCAGATGAAGGAGAAGTAATGCGTGTAATCGAAGAAAATTTAAAAACAAGAGCTAATGAAAATAACTTGAAACACAGACAAATGAGTTCTTCACTTACGGACCTCAAGGACATGTTTGGTGAAAGAAATGTGACACGTGTTAACTTCAATATCCATACACCACCTGATCGACCTCCAGATATACATGTTGATGAACACGACCAACATGAATTTGATATTATTTCAAAAACAGATTACGAATTAAATGATTTTACACCAGATGGCAGCTTAGAAATTTATGATACATATTATCACTCGAATAGTGTTTCACCACAATCGCATGAGTCTTCATATTTGCATCGTGTTCACACTGGAGAAGTGCAGAAAATGAAAGAAAAATTTGAGAGTATTAATTGCCAAACTGAACAGAATGATTTTTTTGGGGTTAGTTCGCTGAGAAAGGTGCGCAGCGATCCTGAATTTAACACACCATTAAGTTCAGGTTCAAAAGACGCCTTATTTGACGACGATAGTGGTGAGGTCTCATGGTATACTCATAATATCGAAAAGAATGCTGCTTCGACAGTTGAAACAGTAGACAGAGGTCGTAGTCGCATTAAATTAATAACATCACCAACATCACAAAGACATCCACTTATGCCACATATAGATATTATTAGTAAAACAGCTGCACTAAAACAGGAAATACATAAAAAACCCTCACTGCCAAAAAAGACTGTAAGTCCCATACGCAGTAATAGTAGCATCAGTAGTAGTAAGGTTGAACGCATGCGCAATAAATATGAAAATCCAAGTATGAGTAATGGAAAATATATTTCAACTTCAAATCCAGATATCAGTAAAATACCAAGTGTACCACAACATTTAACTGGCGACTGGATTGCACATAAATATCCGAGTCCAAAACAAAACTATATGCCAGGTTGCAGTAATTCACAAAGACGCCATTTACGCAATTTGCGAATGCGACCAAGTTCAACATCGCCACCAAGACCACCAAAATCGGTGGAACACCAACAAAATACACTTAAAACAAATGCTTTGAGGCCACGTTACGGTGACATATTTGCAAATCAACCTTTTGATCCAAAAAAACATCAACCAAAAGCACGTTACGTACCGGATGGAGCGGAGACCACACAATCAAAGAAAACTACTGCACATCCCTCATGCAGCGGACTTTGTGGTAGTTTTCGTAAAAGTACGGCAGTAAAATTTAAAGGTTATTAGAAAGAAACAAGATTAATTGAAATTTATTTCATTTTATTTTTTTATGTAAATTAAAAATATCGAAACATTTAACAATATTTCGAATTAGTATGATACGATATCCTTGTATTTTAAAATAACGAAACCGATTTATCATTGTTGCAATTTGAAATGCTTTCGCTTCATAATACGCTTCGGTGCAGGTTCGAATTAATGCGTTAGTTCTTTCTTACTAATGTCAGTAGTTTTATAGGCGTTCTCTTTAATTACTATATTCATTATATCTTCCTTACAACAACTATTAAAATACATCCGGTTAATTCCTTTTAAATTTTTATGATTATATGTTTCGATAAATTGCGCGAAATTTGGTCCTACCTTCAAAATTATGAAAATGAAACAATGTGAATAGATTCTGATAACAATAGCCCAGTACCACCTCCACTACCCACAAAGGGCATACCACTCTCAGGTGAGTTTTTATTGAATCATTATTAAAAAGTATAGTTTTTCATTAAAATAAATTTTAAATGAGTTCGAAAAACGCTTTCGAATATCGAATTGTATTTGATGTGATATAACCAGCCTTTTTATACATAGGATATGTAAGTTTTAAGCTTATGTTACTATATACTAAAGCTTTTACAAATATGTATGTCTTTATATATTTAGATCGGATGTTATTGTAAAAATTTATTTTAAATCTATATCTTTTATATGAAAATAATTAAGCAATTATTAAAATCATATTTTGTTTTAAGAAAAGCATAAACTATTAGTTAAAACAGTAAGTGCTAACAGTTTTGCCTTTTATAACTTTTGCTAATAATTATTAGCATAATCTGCAAATAATAAGCCATGTCTATAAAAACAGATTTTTTTCAAGTCTTACCATAGATATAGTTGAAATATTTCTAATTATTCTAAAATGTAAAAAGCACGAGTTTTTTGATAAAATAGATTCTAAATTATTGATTTGAATTGTTTTTGATGATATAAAATATTATTTTAAACTAAATAATATGATACATGGAAAAAGTCAAGAACTTTCTCTTACACCATATTTTACTGAATATATAGAGAAACAAACAAGTTCAGATAAGGTGCAGAGAAGAAAATGGATCAGTAACATGTAGGTTACTATTTTAATATTTTCTGTTTTATAATTGATTCATTGGAGACCCAATTTCTCGAATCCTCTAGATTTCTTCTTTTCCTTCTTTTCAAAGAATTTCTTTTCATCCATATATCTGTAACATTTTTTATTTTCCTTTTAAGTTACAATTTTTGACAGAATTTTTGCTACTGTTATAATTTCTCTTCTTAAATTACAAATTAATTATAATTTAATTATAAATTAATTATAATTTAATTATAAATCAATTATAATTTAATTATAAATTAATTATAAATTAATTATAATTTAATTATAAATTAATTATAATTTAAATATAAATTATTTATAAATTAATTATAAAATAATTATAAATTAATTATAATTTCCCTTGAGTTACTCATAACATTTCTTGTAAGATTGCCTAATTTGTTTACTTTCTTAATTTTTGTAGACGTATAAGTCTTTCACTATACTATTGTTGATGTCTGATCAGGTTTTTTGAGATGTTTTAAGGCTATATCTTTTTTTATTTATTTAATTGCCATTTCAAATAAAAAATTAATAGAAATACTTTTAATTTTGTTTTGTGAGTTACTTATGGATTTTCACGGATCTAGATTCAACAATTATTGTTTCTTTTTGCATATAAATTTAATAAAAATTAGATCTCGTCACGGAAAAATAATTGGATCTGAAAAATTATCACAATTTTCGTAATAAGTTTTTACCATTTGTGATGCGATCTATATGGCGAAACATAAATTCAACATGCCATGGAAGATAGTTCCTCCTATATGCGTATATAATAAAAGTATTAGGCGTATGCTATATACGAAATTCAATAATGAAATATTGCTACGAAATTATCTTTATTTATTAAAAATTGAAAAAAAAAGTATTGGCATTAGAATTGAATACAATAACAATTATTGTATTATAAATTTAAGGAACTATTATTTCTTTATAAAGACTTTATGTGAATGATTTATAATTATTATTATTATTATATTATGTTTAAGGATTTTACAGTGCGATCTTCAGATGATAGATAAATTATAGTGTAGAACCTACATTACTGAATCATTTTCTTTTATCTTATAAAACTAATCGAGCTCATCGAGTTACTACTATCGCTTAACATATGCATCACTGCCAGGCAAACTTTCAGCATATATACCATATACACATTAATTACATAAAATAAATTAAAAATAAAAACTTAGATAATAGTTCACATAAAGTCAGTTATGTCCTTAATTATTTCATTTGCATAAAATCTTTAAAACAAAAATGAAAGTCTTAAAAAAGTGAACTCATCACTATACTAATTTAATTAATTTTATTGCAATTAATGCTAATTACTGACTTATCCGACTTGATTATTTTACAACTCTTTTATTAACTTACAAGTCTATAAGTCGTTATTTATTAGGATTATCAAATCAACTGTTGGCTATTATCAAAGAGTATATACACATAGAGTGTGCATGTCGAACAAAATATCAGTCACAAAAATTTTGTTCTACTGGTTTTTTAAAAACCCAGGAATTACTCAATATTTGAGTCCTTTTACTATATGTGTGCAAAGAGACTGCATTTTCATTGATATGTGCACATTATCACACTCAACCGCTCTTTTGGTTATAAATATGCTCTTTTGGATATGAAAACATATGTATATACATATATGCATTTTATATTATGTTCGTTTTCTTTAATTTGTATGTATATTTAAATATGTTTATATTTCGTTTATTAAACTATTTTATATGTTTTGTTCTTTATTATTTTACTAATATTTACAATATTACAATTTAATTTAATTCTAAGAATACTTTCGTTTTGAAAGTATTTTTTAGCTACGTACCCTATTGTGTATCTTAAAGACAATAAATCAATATTTATGTTCTTTGAATTGGAAAATGCATCTGATATAATGCAATTTTCGATGTCATTGCACTCTAGATCAGAGTAGGCTTCTACTGCACAGTTACGAGACACCCTAGAGTTATTTTCATAGAGTTCTATCAAAGAAGAAGAAAGCACATCATCAAGGCACTTGTTATCATTATCCTCACTTATTTCACAATTGGCAACTTTCTTAGCGTATGTATATAATATTAATAATTGAATTTATAAATTATAAGTCACCATTTATATATGATGCAATTTTTTACCTAAATATGTTGTTTTCTAAAAACCTTTACAATAAATAATAAGCAATAAAATAAAAATAACTTAATAATAAAAAACAATAAACTATAAACAATAAACAATAAACAATTGGCTACATTTTTAGCGTATGTATATGATATTATAAGTCACCATTTGTATATGGTGCAATTTTTTACCTAAATATGTTGTTTTTTAAAAACCTGTAGGATTATCCTACTTAATTTAATTTTATTTATTTATAAAAACAAACCGTCAAAAGAATGACAACCTTCCTTTTACTCAATAAAAATATTATTAACTAATTAATTTTCTTTTCATGACCAACTCATCTTATTTTCAATAATTTATTTGTCCGAATTTGCATGGCCAACCTAGATCATGTGAATATGCAACCGCCACAAACCTTTACAATAAATAATAAGCAATAAAATAAAAATAACTTAATAATAAAAAACAATAAACTATTAAAATTAAAAACAAAACCGCAATAAAAGAAGGATTAGCGGGGTGGTCTATAGCGCAACAAGAACAGGTAGTTTGCACTTATATTATCATAGTCGCCATCGTAAGCAATATTTATAATATAATAACTGTCCTTATATTATTACTTATTGAATTTTTTGTTAAACTTTATGAAGTTTACTGAAGCTCATATTTTGCATAATTATTCAGTAATTTCTGAGATCTGAAATATATACAAAACATAGACTGGGAACAGCAAATTTTTGTGATCCTTAAGCATTAGGCATTAGCATTAGTGAAAAAATTTTATGGAAAACTTGTATACATTTTTTGGGTATCGATTGTATTAGATTGTAGTGAAAAAAGTCGTAAAAACACGAGTGATTTTTGCAAATTTTCACTTTTAAATTTAACTGTTAATAAAATTTAAACATGTTTTTATTTAAAAATGGTAACAATATCTTAAGCTGTAAAAAATATAAAAAATAAAATTTTTTCAATTAGTAGATATAAAATTATAAGGGTTCAAATTTCGCCAAAATTGTACGAAATCTCAATTTTGCCAAAATTTCATAAAATTGCGAATAACATACAATAATTTACAAAATATACTGTGCTGTTTACTTCTATACAAATGTTTCAGTTAAACTTGAAAATAAAAATTTCGGTTTTACAGAAAATTCTACATTGAAGAAAAAAAATGGATTGTGAATAAAAAATAAGTTTTTTGGTATTTTTGCAGACATTTATTGCTTTGATATTTTCATAAGTTGCTCTTCTTGATTTCTCAATTGTTAAATGCACCTTTCTACATAAAAATACCAACAACTGTAGTTCAGAGCGCAGAAAAGCAATACAAATTTCTTTAAAACTCATTAAGTATAAAATGCTTTAACACTCCAAACTCTCCCGCATGTTAATGCTGAAAAATTAAAAATTGAGTCACAACGAGTCCATGTGACACAAAAATAACTCAAATACTATTTCCCCGATTTCTGCGACCGATTTTTGTGAAATTGCCTTCACTTCATTTTTAAGATTTTTTGAGTGATGCACACTCTATGTATATATACTCTTTGGTGACACTAACTGAATTAATAACTATCTCAATTAGTATTCAAAGCGGAGTACTCAAAGAAGATTGCTCACCCACTCAATTTTTATGGCCACTTGACAATATTTCACAAGATCAATCGTAAAGAATCGTTTATGTTATAATTATATCATCACTTGTATAGGAGCAAACCATTTATATTAATAATTGCTATTTATGATAGTCCAAGCAATTATTATCATTTTTGCTTAGTTGACCCCATTTAAGCTTTAAAGCCGATTTATGCGCAATAGGAAGTAAAAAGTTGACTATTTTAGTAAGTGACTAATTTGTCCTTAGTACTAAAAATGCAAATTACTATTATTTCAGAAAGAAAGGTTTGCCCTTCTAGTAGCATTGCTTTACGTTGTACGTGCTTTGACTTTTCACAAAGCCGCCTTCACAATATTTAAACAGTTTGGCACACTTATGACATGTACTTATCCTCTTAAAATAAATCTGAGCAAAAAATGTTCTATTTTCAAAAAAAAAAATAAAAACACTTTGTCAGATATTCGATTTATGCAAATCTTTTGCCTTCATTTAAACACAAAAACACAACAAAATTAGCTTCAAGGAAAATGAAAGTGTAGCGAAAATATTTTTGCTTTGTTTACCACTAATT